TCTCTCTCTCTCTCTCTCTCTCTCTCTCTCTCTCTCTCTCTCTCTCTCTCTCTCTCTCTGTCTTTTTTTGCACGCTTTGCAACGTGATCCGCCGACGCTCTTTAATTTCCTGTGACACGCTCTCGATAATTAAATAAGTAAGCTCTCGTTAAGCGGATCTATTTTCCCCAAAGTTTGCATTATTTGATGACGGCGCGTCGCAATTGCATCAAGTTTTAATAGCAAATACTCCGAGGAATCTGTGGAATCCATTAAGCAATTTAATTCTACATCAAAAGGTTTAAACTTTAATTGCCGTTGCAATTACGCTCGTGATACGTCGAAAAAGATTTTACGCGCGTGTTATTATGAATAGCTCGAGTAATAAAAATAGTAGCGAGGCGCATTTTGCATGCGGGCGTAAAGAAGCAGGCGAGAGCGATATATACAGGCGTAACTTGGAATCACCGCAAGTATGTACCCGAATTTTTATATAATATGTACATTATTATTTAAATTTACGTATATTCGTGGCTACGTGCATGAACGAGTGTACAAGTATGAATACTTACGTACTTAAAATTACCAAGTTGCCTACGATGTTCCCTGTGCCTTTCTCGTCGGCGAGTGCCACGTGCTCCAAATCGAAATACAGAGCGAGAACATATCGCGTATCGAACGAATTGAAACTCTGACCGCGGTCACTTGGTAGATTTGCGAGATGTAAAATAGCAATTAGGAACTCTTGGCGACGAGATCCAATCAGTATTCGATAGCTGCGAAGATTACGTAGGGAAGTAAATCCGGTTGTCGTCGTTATTACCGGCGTCACGTGCTCCGTACCGTACCGCGCGACACCCGAATACCCTCTGTCGCGGTGGAAAAGCTTTTTCCACGAACGCTTCCAGTGCGACACGTAGCGCTTTTTATCGGGGGCCAGGCACACGTGTCACGCGAGATTATTGGCCTTTGTGCGCGGGCTGACAAATGGTCCACCGCATATGGCGCGTCGCGCACGACTGAGACCAGATTTCGGTCCAGCAGCATCTCCCTCTCATCCGCGCCATTCTCCCCGGCCACCCCCGCCGCGCGCTGCTCCCGATGCATCACGCAGAATCCACGCATCCCTTCGACATTGTTAACGAGAACCTCTCGCAATAATATATTTTCTCTCCTGCGCGACACGGGTCAGTTTAGATTCCACAAACGTTGTCGGAAGACAAGATTCTGAAAGATGAATAACAATTGTTTAACGCACTCGCACACTTAATTCTAGTTTGTTATACGAGATTATATCACGTTATTATTTTTGCCACCCATCGATTACAACAGCTCCGATTCTGTGTTACAAAGTATATATAGCTTCGTGCGAGTTGATTCGCAAATTAAATGGGACATAAATTGATAAATCTCGCGACTGATCTCGTCTCGGATTTCCCTAACGGACAGACGACAGGAAGGATATACGAATATAACCGGCAACCAAACTTGAATGAAACTTTCTAGGAGATTGCTCCCGCGGGACTCGTGACGGAGGCTAATACGCTTTAAGAATATCACAAACGGAAATGGTGAAAGGGGCAATCTCGAAAGGTGCCATTTAATTCGAGGAAAATCTCTGCGCTTTCGCCAAGCATAGAAAAAATTCATGCCTGCAATTTGAGAGCTCGCTTTAATTTGATCCTAAATACGCGATCCATTTCTTAATCTCCACTTATGCCTTTCGAAAATGGAAATGAATATACGGAAGTTAATAGGAGAACTGAAAAAGAAATTGGAGGATTTCAAGGGCTGATTTTCAAGACCGGAGAGATCGGGAAGATGCGAAGAGGTCGGGAGATTAGAAAGTCTCATTGAAGTTTGCCGCAATTTCACAAAACGCGCGTTGTTAAAGATCATGCTTAAGATCGATCATTTTAATCCGGTTACTGTCATTATCTTCATTTCGGACGTGATTGCCATCGATTACTATTTCTAGTTCGGTTAGTACCAATTCGAGTCGGATAATGAACGGTCCAAAATAAACTCAAATCAAACCAAGTCGACGGCGATTCGATCGCGGCTGCTCGGGAGGAGGCATTCTGCTGGAAAAAGAACCTAAGACGTGTGAAGGGACCGTCGAACTTTTCACGAACTCAAAACTTGGGATCTTCTCTCCCTCTGAGCCCTCTCGCCCGCCTGATCCCGCTTGCTCATCCCGCTCACGTACGCGAGGGTGGTTGTTTTGGCGATGAGGGTAGCCGGGATTCGCCCGGGCGGTGCTCTCGGCAAAATACGAGATCCGAATTATTGGGACGCTCCACCGAAACCACCGCGATTTCCAAGTGCGACACGTATGAAGTCGATATATCGTCGCGGGCGATATATGCCACGAGCGTCCTTCCTCTCAAACGGGTTGTCATGAGGGGGTAAAAAAAAACAAGCTCGTTAAGAGCAGATGAGAAAGCGTGGTATTAAACGGATGGAAAAAAAACTATTTTATTGCCACATAAACTAATTTCGTAATGATTATCCTGTACGCAATAAGAATTGCAATTATTACTTGATTATCGAGAATTATTAGGCTGTTACCTTTGACAGGCTTTCTATCAGTTTTAAATAGGTGGAGGAATTTATATTTCATTTTTTCTTCTTTCCGATGATATTTTGAAAACAATAAGAAATTTAAAGTAAATATTCTTTAAGAAAATGTTATTTACGACTTCCTTAAATAAACTTTTATTCCCCTACAGCACACAAATATTGAATCAACATCTCAGAAACGTTCCATTGCAACATTGCAACATTGCATCAATGTTACGAAATGTAGATTTAACGTTGAAAAGATATTGCAAAAACGTCTAATGCCCACTGAATTGTAATGTTTTGTAAACATTACAATTTGACATTCAGGAAACATTGTTAAATTATATTGAGTTAACACTGTTTTAACGTTGCAGCAATATAAAGAATTAATGTACAAATATTAATCTAGATTCAACGTAGAAAAGACATTTATACTTCAACATTCGACATTGCAACGTTTTAGCAATATTATTTTAACTTTCTCGGCTGTATGGGATTTCGTTTTTGGCTAAAACGACACGTTTCGTACGATTCTACGCCTCTTTCTATTGCTGCGGAGAGAGAGAGAGGTGGCTTTGCCGAACACTCGTCGTCGAGTGACCGTCATTATTGGCAGGAAATCTCGTATATCGAGCCGACAACAGAAGCGGCTTGTACCCGTCGCTAGGTACAAAGAGCACGCGGGGGATCCGCGAGACACCCCACAAAATTCCAACTGCAATAAATTATATTCGAGGCACGTGCCAGTCGTAGGGGTGAGCGTCGTGTGTGCTGTACCAAATGGCACTTTCATTGCACTTGCCCCACGGTCTTTGCATCTTGCCGAGTTTCGTCACCCCCAATTTATAGCTCCTCTTCATCTTTCTTATTCTTTTTTGGGGGGGGGGGGGGAGGAGCCACTCGAGTGGAGACACGTATCACACATTTATTACGCATTACGTTTATTTATAGAATATTTTGAACGCGAAGATTGGAGAGAAATTGCGGGCAACCTGGATATTCGAGGGGGTAGCAATCATAAAGAGGGGAGACTCGAGGCTTTGTTTTATTTTCGGCACTTGGCTTTTTTTATGTCATTTCTGCTCGATGATTCGCAACGAAGATACTTTATCTTTAGACCGTAGCCACCGATAGCATCATTATTTTCCAAAATAATTCGCCGTGATGCGCGAACAACGCGCGTGGGAAAAAGGGGATGGACCATTAAGCTACGCAAGATACATCATTTTTCATACTTTAACGTAGCGTATACGGGTGCGTGAATAAACCAACGTGAGACTCGCCTGGGCGCGAGCGAGCAGCGATAAATGACACTGCCGGTGAACAAATGATAATTACGACGAAACCATGTTTTGAAATTTAGTCGTGTAATTTTTGTGCGCCTAGCACAGAAACTGAAAAAAAAACAAACCGCGTAACGTGAATATTTTTATCTTTATTAAAGAAAGATATTTAATAATCCTATCCAAGCTCAGTCTTCTCAATAAGTTTAATTTAAAACGCAGATTTAGCTGGGATTTAAGTCACGTAAAATTTGTTACAATTCTTTCTATTTTTCTTCATAACTTTGCATCGTTGAACCGTAGATCTTGAAATACTTGCATTCGCGAATCTCTCTTTAAATTTTTCAAATTTGCGCCTTTTAGAATTCTTCTCTACATTTTTTTAGAGATACTCCATATTTTTACGCCCCCGTAGTTTCTAGTATTCTACATGCTCGAATCTACTAACCCATAAATCGTTATTTGTGACGGATTTATGGACCCCGAGCCGCAGGATATATGGATCTCGTCTATAACCGACTGACTTGTCGTTCAAGATCGCGAAACATTCGTCGTTAACTTATTACCGGGTGGAAATAATGCGCGAAGTTGTAGAAGCGTCGTTATTGCCAGACATTGCGGCGAGACGTTAGTTTCGTGTCTCATCGTGCGGTTGACGTTTAATTCAAAATCTTGTGTTACCCTTCCCTGGCCATGACTCGAGCTTATTCACGCCTTTAGCCGCAATGCCCGCGCTCTCATAAATCTCGGAAAACTTGCCGGTGGCTACGGGCTAACCACCCACCAATTAGCATCTCGAATTCGAGGGTACGAGCGAAAGTTTCCGATTTCCCTATTGTCGCAGCGGCGATACCAGGGTGTCTCTTAGACCCTGATCTTAATAACAGATTCTTTGAGGAGGTCGAAGTCGATTTTCCTTGAACAAAATCCTCTTTCTTAAGCAAAACGAAATTATTTGCGACTGTTTTATAATATTCACATCCAAATTCTTCAGAAACCCTTATTTCTCCGTCTCAAATCTTCGATATTGAATCTCTCGATTATTAAACTTCAAATTAAATCACAGGAAGAGATTTTAAAGTTAAATTAAAGTTTTACAACTTGAATTTAACTATTTATATTTTAATAACTTAAACCGAAGAATTTTTAAAGACACTGTTTCTCTGTATATAAACTTGCCATTTCGACAAATTCCGCATTGAATACAGAGAAGCACTGTCTCCAAATAGTTGGAAGGTGCCAGCAATCGAAACGCCCAACAACTCGTAACGAATGTCCAGAGGGTGAGTGGCAAATGGTTGGCTACAAAACAGTGAGAGCTCCCTATGGGCTCGTCCTCGACAACGGTCGTCTGCAAAAACATTAATCACAAGTCGCTCGGTGTTTGCGCTGTCTATTTCAAAGCTTGTCCTACGCACTTTGTCATCGATAGATCGTCGACAAACATTTTCGAGCTTATAACGGTTCAGATTTTAATCGGAGGCCGATAGAATAGAGGTAGAATGTACGAACAGCTAAACATCGATCGTTTCTTTTGTGTTTTAAAAATTTGATGTATTGTAAAATACATCACGAAATGAAAAGATATAAAACGTGGTAACTAACGTGTTATTTTTAATTCATTTATGTATAACGTTAATTGCATATTAATATTTATATAATCAGCGTGAATGTGGATGAATGCAGGAGAGGGCGAGCGAGTAAGTTAGAAGGTATAAATAGGAGAAATAGAGAATAGAGAAGGATAAGAGTAGCAATGCAAAAAGAGATATAGAAAAAGAGCAAGACTAGGGAGAACGTAGGAAGGAAGATGAAAGGAAAGTAAGGAAAGAGCGGGCTAGGAAAGGAAAGGGACGGGGATAATCGCAACAGTAGGTATTTTGACTAAAAAGAGATAGGGAGGGAGAAAGGAGAATAAGAAGAAGGAATTAGAGGAATGAAGCCCACTGGGAGAGGAAGGGGGAGGTACAATATATGTAGGAGCGAAGGATGATAAGAGGAAAGAGATAGGGACGGAGGTGGGTAGAGAAGAGAAACTGTACTGTACGAAGAGACAGGAGAATGAAAGAAGTAAGAAGAAGATCATGAAGACAAAGGAGTAGGGAGTAGAATAGGAATAGGATAGGTAAAGTTGAATAGAGTGAGAGTAGGTTTAAATACTGCAATTGAGAAAGAAGAGGCGCATGTAGAAGTTAGGGATAGAACGCGGTGTAGGTATGGAGGAATGAATGAGAGGATGAATGAGGTAAGGATATAACTGTAAACCATGGCAAGCCCCACTTCTTGGCATGTAAGCTGAAGTGTAATAAAGATTGTATTTGTATTGTATTATTTAATGAATACTTTATTTTTCTTTTGTTCTTAATTATAAATTGGAATTTAAAAATAATATATACAATATTATACATATTTTTTAATAAATAAATAACTACATATTATACAATAATTTTATACAATATTATTGTATGATACGTAAGTATTGTATAATATAAATTGTGATATATAAAATGCAAAATTGTTATGTAAGAAAAAATCGCAATTTTTTGTTTTAAGTAAAATAATACCCGCATTTTCTTTTTACCATTCTCGACAAAGTTACTATTATGCATTAATTTATTGTGATTTTATGTTTACAGAGTAATAAACTCTTTCTCGCGAGTGCTTCTTGACTCACATGTCACTATATGAGAAACCGATAAAACGTCTCCTGAGCCATCTAGTAGGAAGTGATGAAATCTAAATATCAAGATTCATAATGATTGTAACCATGTTTACCATGGGGACGTAATTCTGATCCTATTTTTTTCCTAACAGGAAAAATCTTCAAGATCGCCAGCAATAATTAACATCAAATTTGATTGACCGTTTAAGCATCGCAATGCTTAAACATAAAAATTGCCAGATACGGTCAACCAAACTTGATGTTACTATTTTCTTTCCATTCGTTAGATATTAATTAGAAATATTTAAGTAATTATACATTTAACGAACATACATATTAAATAAAAATGTCTATGTATCTCTAGGAATTTAGTGATTTTAGCGATGACTGTTTCGGCACAGACAGATTTGATACTTTCTTCGAAAAGTCTTGATATACCTCCTTTCTCTTCTCCTCTCGTACTGCACTTATTCGATAACATTTATCATATCGAACCAAATATATTTGTATCAAACATAATCACATTATCCCTGTACATAAAAATTTTTGGCATTTGTACAATTTACAAAATCTTCTAACACATTTTATATTAGGTATCTGTAATCCTTTTATTTTTTACCAAAGTTTGAAAGTCTAATATTTGTTTCTTTAATCTCCTGAGTTTCTGTCGCAAGGTTCTTAGAAGCACTTTTTGCCGCATGATCTTTTTGATCGCCACTTCCCAGTAAATTTTAGCTTGCACCGACGATGTGGAAATCTCCTCCCATCGGACATCGTATAAATACTTCTTGCGTTTCTTCTCTGGATCGCTTGGACCTGCTTGAGCGAGCGATATACTATAAAAAGTTAATTATTTCATTAGCATTTTCCGTTTCCTTTTACAAATACTAAAGCATATTTTAAGTACATCTTACTTTTCGGACAGTTTGTCATCTCTTTTAACTTCTATACGTGATTCTATAACATTTAAAGCTTCGTTCTCAGGAGCTCTCTCGCTAGATTCAACTACAGTGTTCGTTGACTGGTTTTCCTTAATGATCGCGCTTTGATTGTTCGAAACAGTGTTCTCCTCGTTTAAATAAAGGGACGGTATCGCATCGTGTTTCAAATAGCGTTTGCTTCCAACTAAACTGTACTTAAAGTCGTTTTCCTTAAAGTGGCGCGAACATATTTGGGACGATCCAGTGATCTTTTTCTCCGTGCCAATTGCGAGCGACCATCTCTTCAGTAAATCGTCCGACTTTGGAAACCTTAAATGAATTGCGAAATGAATAAAAACACGGTGTTTATTGTATAAAAATACTTACCCGAAAAGCGATACATCCGACAGCAAAACGTCTTTGCTCATGCGGTGATTACAGCAGATGCATGTACGTGTCATTGTACAACAAAAAAAGTATTACTATAAAATTGCGAAGGGGAAAAAGGTCGAATGTCAAAGATTTAATTCAGTACTAAACTAATATAACCTAAACTTAACCTAACCTAACTCTCGTTTGTTTTGCGATAGAGCTGGCAAAAATTATCCTTTGTGTACGTCCCTTCCAGAATATTAAATCCCTTATTCGGATCGTCAAAGTTCTAGGCTTGTATCAAAATCAAAACTTACGCGGTTGTTTTTGTTTACAAATTAGTAGACTGAGAGTGCAAACCATGGACGTAATAAATATCTGGACAGAGCGCAATACTGCGGGGTTGAAGTACAAAGGGTGAGAGGAATGAAATGTCTATTGACACGGATGAGGCATGTAAGATGGCGGCGACGGATAATTTCACGGAGATATAGTCTATTTAAAGTTAAAACGAAGGAACCTTTATTTCTCACAATTTACATATATATTTGTTATATATATGGGTC